CCCCGGTCATTCGTTGTTATTGTGGAGAGCCTACTGGAGGAATGGTGAGAATGGTCCAAGAGTCTAACGTAATTTGTCGTTTTTCCCATCCCTTTGCTTAATCCTTTAGACTGACTGGCAATAGAGTACTTGGCCAACCAAGTAAAGTGTTGCCAGTAGAGTCGCGAGTGTGATTCGGAGTCGCACGGCAGCAGGATTGAGTTGTGAATGCTTTTGAGGTGCTGATGAGACGATGCGATGATGTCGTGTCTGCCGTCCGGACGGGAAGGTGGCCTCTTTTTTTGGAGGCAAGCTGAAGCGAATTGCAAGCGATGCATTCGTCTCGAAAGACGACTCTAATTGAAAATAATAAACAAGCACTTCTGAATGGAAATTGTGCCGAGCAGAACAATTTCTCAAACGTTATGCCTTTCGATGCATTTGATTTGCATCGTCAAGACGCATAAGCCTCACTTTGATTTGATAAGTAGTCATGGAAATAGGAATCAACATCCAAACGGGATGTAGCCGGGATGGAATGCCAGGTAGAACAGTAGATAAGGAGAGTTCATAGAAATTAATAGAACCGCCACATCCTGAATATAGCGACAAAATGTGGAACATAAACAGCATCTTCATTTGGCTGTTTGGTAGGATCGGGCAGAAGCAGGACGAACCACCGAGCAGGGGTAATGGACAAGTCAGGTTTGCGCTCTACAATCACAAATAACTACAGATTGCATACACACAACGCAAGTTAAAACTCGACATCCGAGCAGCACTCATCAGTCACAATGAAATGGCCACATGTAGCTCGCAAAAGTGGGTATAGAAAAAAAAGACGGATTTTTCAGCCGTTCATTTTTCTGCTTTCATGGAGTTGGCGAATTCGCTTGAAGGCGATCTCCCTTGTGATGCCAACTTATGGGTCCCGACCAACCGGCTTTTCATCTGAAATTTGGGCTCGACTAACACTGTCGTCAGCAGTTGCAGCGAAATCGTAAATTTCATTTAATCTTAATTTAAGAAAGACTAATTAGTGCACAAGAGACAAGAAGGGACAGAGCAAGTTATCAGAGGTGATGGGAAAACACATGATTGAATTTACAGAACAATTTATTTAAACCCAACGTCTGCATTAAAGTTCACACAGCCCAGCTTTCCCAAAAGATGTTCTCAACTGAGCTAAAGTGGACTGCAGTTTAGACTTCGTCTGATCCGGTCTCATCACCACCCACAGCGGGACTCGAACTATGATCATGGTAGTGCAGTATATACACTCGACGCGTTGACCACTACGCCACATTGGTACGAGTGCCCTTGGGTGTGAATTTCAAGCGAGTACATGTCTTTTTTCACATCCTATTCCGTGGCGGGATTGACGATGAAGCAAAGTTGCATTTGCAATTACAATCAACTAGATTAGTTAGTTTCATGTAAAGTAGGGTTTTAAAGACTGCTAATCGATCATCTATATTAGATGTGTTCATCCTTTTTCGTTTGAGGTGAGGTAGGATTGTTAGTTGCATTTTCACACAATGCTATGAGTAGACCTTATGCTTCCATCCAATTTGACTCAGTCTTGTTCTCTTTAAAAGCTATCCTCATCCAAGCTGGTCTGCACTGTGGTTTCGACCCCGCCTAGATCGCAGCAGCAAACCAGCCGGACTCGAACGAAGGTTGTGGTGGTGTGGCGTACGGTATCGCTGGACTGCCACGAGTGGCCCTGGGTCACAGGGCAGATGTGCATTTCAAGCAAGTCCATGCATATTCTCATGTCGCATGCTTCAATGTGTGTGAAGATGAAGCAAAGTTATATTGGCCACATTCATTATTTTTCGTTTAGAATAAGCCTTCAGAAAACATGAGATGTATTCACTCTATTTGGTTGAGGAGATAAAGAAATACTCGCATTATTGTAGAAACATTCGAATGCCAGTCCTTCATCCTCTCAACGAAATAGGGTGAACACATTTCTGTATATAATCTAGTGGTAGTCTCCAAATCCTACTCATCAACGAAAAGTGATTATTTAACATTTCAATATTTCCCTTATCCCACTGACATGTTTGGCTGTGCCACAATGTAACAGTGGAATGTGGAAAGTGTTGTAGAAGTGTTGGGTGAAGAGATTTGAAGGTCGGTTCCACCAGAAGACAACGACGGATTCCTCTTGACCAGCTGTCGATTGACTTTACTGGAGCA